GGCAGTGCGGTTGGCGCAGGATAGAGCAGGGTTTAGGGCTGTTGTGAATAGGGTCGCTATGAGTCGAAAACGACTCAACGGCACATAACAACAACAACAACATACCATTATTTAAATAAATCTAAATTCTGCCCAATAAAAGGCGGGAAAGGATATTATTAAATACAAATATTTCAAGTATTACTAATTTAGGTTTAAAAAGTTAATTTTTTTAATATTTAAAAATATTGATTCATTACCTGATGAATTTCTCAGTAATGTACCAGGATGATTCCCTATTCCTGAACTTATCTGGCCTAAAATTAAGCAGAAAAAAGAAAAAAGTCAGTGTTGTATATCCTGAGTAAATATCCACAGAGGAATTAAACTCAAGAAATCCAGACCTATGGGTAAGGAAAACAAGTTCTAAATCACTGACAATGGGCATTAGATCTAATATATTCAATTCTATGTCTAACAATGTCAAGTACTATTAGGGTAAATAACATTCTCACTTTTAAAATACGTTTATGAAAGACTAAAAAGGACTTTTAGATGTATTGTTGTTGTGTACTGTCAAGTCCATAGCTAACCCTCTGGCGGGTTTTCAGAGGCAGTTAATCACACGAGAGGAGACTGTCCATTCTCCTCCCACAGAGCAGCTGGTGGATTAGAACTGCACCTCTTCAGGATTGCAGTGCAAGCTTATTTATTACGTCACATGCCAAAATACACTAAAATAGGTTTAAGAAAGTAAAAAAATACATCCTATATAGCTATTCATTTCGTGCAGCCTAATTTCTTCGTGAGGATCTCAGCTATGCAGTCTCAACTGGATGGCAAAGAGCTGGTGTTTTGAGTTGAATCTCTTGGTCAGCATAAGCACATGGCAGGTTTCACATGACAACAATTACCATACTTACTGCTAATGAGAAGTTCCAGCATACTCTCTGATGTGTTCACAACAGACAACTCCAGACAATGTGCGAAACTGGATAACGCTTTGCTGCGGACAGTAGGTGCTTTGTCTAAACAACGGTCAAACATAATTTCCTGTACTAAGAACTTATGTGTTAAGAACTTCTGATGTTCCAAGGAGAGAGAGTTATCCATCTCTCTTTCTGGCAGTTCTAACAGAGCTAAGGCAACATCAAGAGTAAAAACCCTGTGTGGGATCTGGTAAAACAAAATAAGAAACATCAGACAGGAGTAAAAACCAAAGAAACATTTTACATTTTCAGATCTGGCTGTCATTAGAAGTTTACAGAGTCAAGATCAGAGATTCATGCAGATTATTCTCCTACCTTTGAACTTCGGGAGTATCTGTAAAGCCAGGAAATGAATGTAGCATATTCCACGGAAGGAATTTTACTGAGCAAGTGGACTAGTGACTGAGCCGCGTAAGTCCTGTAGTCTGACTTATCAACCACCTAAAACACAAACAGAAACGCCATCCAGCTAATATCCACCTACAGGATATCTAAAGCACTTGTTCTAACTCAAGTTGAAAATCAGTGATCTTTAGAAGCAATATAAATGACTAACACACTTTACTTTCCCAATTCATTTAAAAATAAAATTACAAAATAATCTACGAAGTCTCTCTCCCAAAAATCTTTATATAAATTCAGGATGTAATTTTAGGGAGTTTATGGACTCAGGGATCCAGGGACTTTAAGTGAATAATCATTTGACCAAACTGTTAAAAATTTTAGAATCCTGGAAATTTCAACATCAACTTGATGGTCAATGATATTATGAAATTACTGTATCACTGTGTTAACATTCCAATTATTTTGTGATTATTAACTTTCAGAAATATAAATGAAAATATTTATGAATAAAATAATATTGAATTTGCTTTTTAAAAAACCTTGTCTATGTTCATATTGCAGGAAGCGATTATGTGTCAATGGCACAAGAATACTGAAGCTGAATGAGTGTGTGATGGTTTGTCCACACTTTAGTATATGTTTAAAATTTTCCAAAAAAAATTTTTTTTAAAAAAAGACATCATATCTAGGGAAACCTCTAAATCCATGGACATCAAGTCAATCCTGATCCACACTCACTCCCAATCACATTTCTAAGGCTACAATCTTTACAAGTATAGACTGCCTGTCTGTCTCCCCCACATCAGCTGGCGGTTTGGAATCACTGACCTTTTATTTGGTTATGGAACATGTAACATACTACACTGTATTCAGCTATTAAACACTTTAATAATGATACACACTCATTCCCCAAAACAACTACACACAGTATAAATACACCCCCCAAAACACTTTCACGCATAGACTTTTTAAAAATAAACAAAGAAATCAGACACAAAGTTCCACCAAAACCAATGCTGCTGACTCACAGTAACCCCGCCCCCCCACATCAGGTTCCAGTGCTGTAAATCTTTATGAGAGAAGACTGTCCCCCATGGAGTTGCTAGTGTACACAAACTAACTGTAGGACTTTCAGTGAGCAAAGCAACACACAGCATGCTACACCAATCAGGCTCTTAGACATCCATATTATGTACCTGTATTTGTGCGCTATTATTAAATCAAATACCTTAGCACAAATATGCTGGAGCAAGATACGGAGGACTGGGAATATACGTTCTTTCATTTCATCCACAAGTAAGCTATTTAAAAGAAAAACACATCTCGTATTAAAATACATCCATTATTAAGCAAAACAGTGATATTTTCTTACTCTATCTTAAAAAACCATTGCCTTTACTAGTGTAAATACTACTAATAATTTATTTCAATTTTATAAGTAGCTTCTTTAGTAGAAAACAGAATAAAGATGTAAAGTATCATAACCAAAAAGTCTTAAATACTGGCTGTCACAGCATTGGAGCTGCCACCAAGTAGACATGTGTAGTCACGAAGGAGACAAGGTAGAAGTTCACAGTATTCCTTGACCACACACTAAATTTGAGAGATGTTATCCTTTGGGAAATATAAAGAGAATTCGGCACAGTATTATCTCGTGGTAGCTGAGCGTACCTCTTTGCCTTATGCCTCCTGCTCCATGCTACTATAGTGAATGTTACATTCCATCTCCAAACGTTAATGCAAGAGAAATAATGGTAATTCTTAGGTATGGTCTACTTGTAATGTTAAGTTTATTTGCATAAAATACTATTGCATGATATCACAACTATTACTGCAGCTGGTAACATCATATGCCCTCAACAAAGTGGAAGAAATCTTGGTCAGTAGGGGGTAAAGAAGACTGACAGTGATGAAAATAATAATCCAAAACAAGTACATTTCACCTGATGAACTGGACTGCATGGTTTCTACTACTAATGGCCTGTGAAGTGATAGTAAGAGTAGAGCGATGAGATCCTTCTCCGCCTTCCAGCATTAATATTACATTCAGCATTTGATGGAAAATACAACTGATAACCTAGAAGAGAAAATAAAATTCCATTTAAGGTATGACAAATCTATGTGCCTCAGACAGTATGGAGTCAATCAGGTCAACCCATGTACAGATAAGGCAGCTTAACACAGTTTCTGGCTGAACATTAGGAGCAAGTCTCCTGGATAATTACCAGGTGCTTAATAAATGCACAATGGAAATAGTATAAAGGAAATGGGTGGCGTTGACCTTTATCCTCTATTAAGACTACTAAGAGGTGATCAAACTGGCAACAGCTAGCTACTTGAAGGATCAAGAGGAAAACTAAGAGGACAAGGAGATTTTATTAGTGGAGGAGGAACATTCCCAAAAATGAGTGCAAGAAAAAGTCACAATTAGAAGAACATAATCTGCTTTATAGAACTGTATGTGAAGAAATGGGAACTGGTATTTTTCTATTGCTGTGGATCTTAACAACAACAACAATAATTATTCACAAAAATAAAAGGACAGGAAAAGAAATGCAAGCAGATAATATGATAACATTTAGCCTTCCTATGTAACTCATGCATATTCTAGCCAGAACTTAGGGCAAAAATAAGAACTGTTCAAAAATGCAAAGAATGTAACTGAAATACTCTTCCAGAAAAAGGAGGAGGGAAAGCACAGATCAATAGTGAACACTGTATTGGAACAGATGAGGGACGCAACTGTTTAAATGAATATATGATTAGGAACTATCTGTTAAGACAACAATCCAGAAGAAGAGGTACACTGCAAAGAGGACTGGGAGAGGGAACTGTGCAATGGTGAATGATTATTTTTTTTAAAAAAGTGAACTGGGGGAGGGAGGAACATGTTGCAACAATGAATGAATGAAAATCTAACTTTTTTGTAAATTTTCATTAAATTCACAATTAAAATAAAAAAGTCCTATGTTACGTTATACAATGTTGATGTGTGCCATCAAGTCAGGAATGACTTACAGTTAACCCTCCAGTGAGTCTTCAGAGGTTTTAAACTGCACTTGAGTAGATGGCCTCTCTGTCTCCCATAGAGCAGCTGGTGGATTCGAACTACACACCTTAGGGTTAACAACCTAACTTCTTACCATTAGGCCACCAGAACTGTTTATTCACTTTGTAATTACAATAGTTAAATAAAACCAAATATAATACAAAAAGGTATTTACTAAATGCATTTTTAAACATTACTTAATTTTAGTATAGGAGTTATGGTGGTGTAGAATGCTGCACTGCTAATCCAAATGCAGTATCTGGAAATTCAAATTCACTAGCAATTCTGAGGGAAAAAGATGGGCAATCTCCTCCTGTGCAATTTACTACCTCCGAATAACCCCCCTGGAGGGTCATATTCATTGGTTCCAATTCAATGGCAAAAAGGTTTTTATGAGAAATTTTACTGTAGCTATAAACTTATGACTCCATGTGGTTAGCATTTATCATAATTCCCATTTTACAGATCACAAAAGAAATCCCAAAGGTAAGCCATAGAGAGTGAAGGCAAAAATCAGGGATGTCAGATAATATCAAGTCAACACCTTCAGAAACCAACATTCTCTTTCCAAACATGGGCCAGACAAGGATGCGCACTGTTACTGCTCCCTATTCAATATTGTATTGAAAGTACTTGCTAGGGCAATATGGCAAGAGACAAAAATAGGAGGCATCCAGATCAGCAAAGGGATGGTGAAACTGTTGCTATATGCAGATGATATGATAGAAATCAGAAAACTCCAAGGACACAACCATAAACCCCATTAGAGGTAGTGGAACAATTTACTAGGGGGACAGGACACAAGATCAATACACAAAAGTCAGTGAGATTCCTCTATAGCAACAAAGAGAACACAGAGAAGAACCCCAAGAAAGTAACACCATTTACAACAGCGAATCACAAATTCATACTTAGGAATAAACTAAGTAGAGATACAAGAGACCTTTACAATGAAAACTAAAAAACACTTCTGTAAGAAACAAAAGACTTATATAAATGGGAAAATGTTCCCTTTTCATGGACAGGAGGACTCAATATAGTGAAAATGACAATCCTACCAAAAGCAATGTACATGTTTAATGCAATCCCAATTCAGATAGCAAATTAATTTTTCAGAGAGAGAAGGCAATTACCAAGTTTACTTAGAGAGTGGAAAAAGATCTCAAATAATGCACTTCTGAGAAACAAAAATGAAGTGGGAGGCATAACACTTTCTGATCGCAAAACCTACTATACAGCTGTAATAACAAAATCACCATGGTACTAGTACAATGACAGGCACACAAATCAATGGAGCAGAATCAAGAACCCAGAAATTAACCCATCTATGTATGGTGAATTATTATTCAATAGTGATACAAAACCTATCAAATGAGTAAATAACAACCTCTTCAACAAATGATCCTGAAAAAACTGGACTGCTACATGCAGAAAGCTGAAGCAGGATCCACACATTTCACCAGGTGATTGCTGTATGTGCCCTTGAGTTGCCTGCAAATCATAGTGACCCTATGTACAACAGCTCTGAAGCCTGCCCTATCCTGAAATCAGTATGACTCTGACACATCTACCTCCACGGCCTCAGTTACTGCAACAATCCATCTCATCCAATGTCTTTTCTCCACCCTTTAAAGCATGATGTTATTCTCCCAGGACCATCCCTCCTGGCCACATGGCCAAAGTATGTCACATGGAGCTTTAAACTCCTAGCCTCCATGAAGAGACTTGGTTTGACCCTCACCAAGACAGACCTGTTTTCCTGGTGGTTCACGGTAAGTTCAGCACTCTTCTCCAGCACTGCAACTCAACGGCACCAGTTCTTCTGTCATCCTAAATCATTGTCCAGTTCCCTGATATGCAGCAAGTACTTGTGAAGACCATGGCATGGATTAGGCGTACCTTAGTCTCTAGACTGGCATCTTTGCTTCTCAGTACTCTGAAGAGGTCTTTGACAGCAGATTTTCCCAGTGCAATTCATCTTTTGATTTCTTGACTGCTGGTGCCAAAAGAGTTGATTGTGGAATTGAGCAAGCTTACTTACTAACACCTCAATCTCTTCTCCATCTATCACGATGCTGCCAATTGGCCCAATGGTGAGAATCTTTGTGTCTTCTTGATGTTGAGCTTCAATCCATATTGAACACTAAATTCTTGAATTTTTGCAGCAAGCATTTCAGGTCCTCCTCAGTTTCAGCAAGCAAGGTTGTATCATTTGCGTAACAAAGGTTGTTGAGGAGTCTTCCTCTAATCATGATGCCATATTCCTCCTCAAGAAGCCCAGGCTCCCAAATGACCTTTTCTCCATACGGACTGAAAAGGTATGGAAACAGGACATTCTCTCCCTGATTTTGAACCTTCCAGTGTTTCCTTGTGCTCTTCTGAGAACTGCTTCCTGGTATAAGTACAGGTTTTGCATGAGCACAATCAAGTGTTCTGGGATTCCCATTCTCCTCAAGGTTAGCCAGTTTGTTGCAATCACAGTCAAATGAAACACAGATTAAGACATTCCTCTGATACTCTTTTCTTTATGTTAAGATCCATCTGACACTGGTGACAATGTGTCTAGAGCCACAGCCTCTTTTAAACCTAGCTTGTATTTCTGGTAGTTCTCTGTGAATGTACTGTTATCATCATTCTTGAACAATCTTCAGCAGGATTTTGCGAGTGTGTGATATTAATGATATTGTTCAGTAATTTTCACACTGTTGGGGGTCACCTTTTTTTGGAATGGGAATAAATATAGAGTTTCTTCCAGTCAGTTTGACTGGTAGTTGTCCTCCCGATTTCTCAGCACAACCCGGTAAGCATGTCCAGAGCAGCATCTGCTTGTTGAAATATGTCAATTGGTATGCCATCAATTCCTGGGGCTTTATTTTTTGTAAAGTTCTTTAGAGCAGTCTGAACTTCCTCCTTCATCACCACTGCCTCCTGATCACATGGTTTCATGAAGTTCTTCTGTGTAAACCAATTGTTTTTGGTACAATGACTCTGTATACTACTACTTCCATCTTCTTTCAATGCTTCAAGGATCATTCAATATTCTGCCCATAGCATCCTTAAGTACTGCAACTCATGGCTTGAATTTGTTCTTTAGTTCTTTCAGCTTAAGAAATGTCGAGCCAGTTTGGCCCTTTTGATTTTCCAACTCCAGCTCCTTGCACATTTTATTGTAATACTTTGTCTTCCCAAGCTGCCCTTTGAAATCTCCTATTTGGCTCCTTAACTTCTTTTAGATTTAATAGATGAGCTCATTTATTTGCCACACACAGAAAATTGTATTTCTGACTGGATTCAGATTTGGAGGCAGAAGCTCTTAGAGAGAACAGCCTCCATCTCTTGGCAATCTGCTCCTGGCATTTTTCTTTGGCCTTCATTCTCTTGGCCAAAAGCTTAGTGTACTCTGCAGCTTCCTCTTTTCTTCTTAGTACGCTGTTTCTTCAGCAAAATGTGCTGGCGCATATGCTACAGGGCAGGTAGAGTAACAAGATGCTGAATCTTGGGCGCTTTGGTCCTGGGTTTCTTGCCCTTTTTATTCAGTAGCTTTCTCACAACATACTGATAGACATCATCTTCTTTGTAAAGATTGAAGCTAATTTGTTGGCTCTCTTGGGCCCCAGACAACGAGGCACAGTGGTATGACTCAGTCCTGGAATTTCCTTCTCCTCTTTCTTTACAATAACCAAGTTGAGAACATTCAGATTGGCATCCACATTCAGATTTGTGCTTCCTCTCATCATTTCTCTGTGGTCTGTAACAAGAGTGCCCCTCACTCAGCAGCACGCAAACTCAGCCATGGGTCAAAACACCCTGCTCTGTTGGTGGGATTGAAAATGATATAACCACTCTGGAAGGTAGTCTGCCATTTTCTCAAAAAGCTGAACACAGAAATTCCATATGACCCAACTGCTGGAATATAATCTGAGGAAATTAGAATTGAGACATAAATGAAGATTTGTTCACCCATGTTCACATCAGCATTATTGCCAATCACAAGAAGATTAAAACAACCTGACAGTCCAACCACAATT